TTCCTTTCAAAATTATATAGTTTTATTCCCGAATCAGTGATGTGGAAATGGCGAATTGCAGTCATCTCTTTTCTTTCATTATTTTTTATTTTCAAAATAGAAAGTTTAAAAGTAAAGAATAATTAGAGTGGCATGGGTCGGTCAAACAGGCTGAATTTCAAGTTTTGGCCCGTTTTGATCAAGTCAATTTATAATCACATGGTTCCCTGATACCCGATATAAATCTCAATCCAAACCAGTTTGGCAGGTGAGTCCGTGTTTACCACCATTTTCTAGGGATACAGGAACGGTGGTTCCTATCCCAAATCGTGTTGTTCATTATTGATTTCTTTAGATTTTATCATGGCTTGACAAAAAACCCAAAAGCACAATGATGACAAGATGAAAGTTTTATAAAGTAAATTAATCGGCCAACGGGCCGAGTAAAAGCTAGTAACGATTGTGAGATGCTCATTTCCCGAAAACCGACGGGATAGGCGATTTTTTATTCGATTTTCTGGAATTCGGTTTCTATAAAACTTACTCCACCTCATCATATTACTAGAAACAATATTGTTTCACAAGGTAACAGGTACTTGATTTTGGTTAATAAGGCTGATTTTTTATTCGTTGCATCATTCATGTCTCTTTCCTACTAAAATTCACTATTTTTATCATGTGTTTCCCAAAAAAACTATACAACAATAAGCTATACACTCCATTACATTATCAAATTTCATACCTCACCTTGCTCCGGCCAAATGACCGGGGCCCACACTAGTTGTTTTTTTATAGCGAAATGAGACAACATAATCCAATTTACTTGCGTGGGATTGCTAATTTACTTGGGCCGGTCCAAGTTTTAGCTTCCATTAAGTTGGCCGCGGGATCGATTTTCCTAATTTCCTTCCTCCCTAGTCCCACCCCTTCCACTCGCAGCATTTTTCTTCTCGTTCCCAGCCTTTCATCTGCCGCCGCCGTCCGCCGTTCATCGACCCATGGCTAATCAGAAGAAACCCGCGGGCCAAAACTTGAAATTCAGCATGTTTGACCGACACATGCCAAACTATAATTATTCTTTACTTTTAAACTTTCTATTTGAAAATAAAAAAAAATAGTGAAAGAAAAGAGATGACTGCAATTCGCCATTTGCACATCACTTATTCGGGAATAAAACCATAGAAATTCAAAAGGAACTGAAAATGTTTAGGATCATTTTAATGTTTAAAATAACCAAATAGATCTTTCTGTTTAGTTTTTTACTCACAAATACCAAATGATTCCCTATAAAATACACTATAATTTGATCATTATGATACCAAATAATTATATAATATATATTTGAAATGATAAAAATTGGACTAATTGGGTTGGTCGAGGTTGACCCATTGAATAACTTTAAAATACATTATATTTTAGCCACTAAGATATAAAATAATAGCATAATATATATTATGTCAGAGAAAATAGCTTGTTTTAGAATGTTAAACCAATGATGTTCATTTGTTTTACTTGATGGCCAAATCCCGTGTAGGTCATGCCCATTCAACTCTTTTATTTTATGGTTAGCGGTTAGCCCATTAGATACCATGTATTAGTTTATTGTTAAATTTTTTATTTTTAGCAATAAAAAGAAGTATTGTTTTTGCCTTTTCATATATATTTTATCACCACGGAGAAATAGAAGTGCTCAAAGAAAAAATTGACACTCCTGGACACGTTTAAATTCGCATGTGTACGGTAAGTTGGCCCGTTCCACAGAGGAAAGAGAAAAAATTGTCACTCCCTATTCTACCCTTCCTACAAACGCACATGGAGCATGGAATTTGAAATAGGGGAAGGGTTTTTTCCTCCCTGCTATTATATGTTTTTAATTTAAAAAAATACAACCAATGTACTTAGTGTGATTGGTTATGATCCTTGTTTTTCTTTAAAATGGTGATGGTTCGAATCCCAGTACATGTCTTTTTAGGACTTTGCTACAGTGACATGCACTTTCCGGTCAACCTCTTATCTTACGGTGACATGCACTTTCCGTTTCAGTGTAAAAACAGTTTTATGGTGCCTACTTTGGAATTCATATCTTACTATTGGCTAGATGGAAATTGGAGATTAATGGCTTGTTTTGAAGCTGAAGTGTCCCTCTACACATTAAAGTACTTGCAAGCTCGATAGGAAGTCCAGAAGCCCTGAATCCAATTAGCTAAATTGTTTATTTATAGTTAAATGAGACAATTTGATTCAATTGGATGATTTATAAGTTGCGTGGATTGCTAATTTACTTGGGCCGGTCCAAGTTTTAGCTTCCATGAAGTTGGCCGCGGGATTCCTTTACCGATCGATTTTCCTAATTTTCTTCCTCCCTAGTCCCACCCCTTCCACTCGCAGCATTTTTCTCTCGTTCCCAGCCTTTCATCTGCCGCCACCGTCGTCCGCCGTTCATCGATCCATGGCTAATCAGAAGAAACCCGAATGGCCGAAGCTCCGGTACGGGGATGGCGAGTGCAAACGCTGCCGGGAACTCGATAAGCTGAAGCTGAAACCCAAGCCCGATGACCTCGATTATATATGGCAGGATGACGATTTCGAGGGCGACGAAGAACTGATGCTAAGGGTCATCCATTACAGGAGGAAGCGTAACGTGACCGGTGTAAGTAACTCAACTCATCACCAAAAAAACTGATCAGAATTAATCCACTCCGATTTTCACCATGTTAGGGTTTTCTGAATTTGACTCTTTTTGAATGCGAAGTGTTTCGATGTTGATTGCCCTCCATCGTCCCATTGGGGCCGACTTTACCCACGAGAACATTATTCCATGCGTGTTCGGGACTATGACAAGAGGCTTAAGACGTGCGTAAAATTCGTGATCGACACATACAATGAACAAAAGGTAATGAAGTGGTGGTACTTCGTGGGCACGTACACTAGCTAGCTAGCATACATGCGTGTTAATTAAATTGAATAATGTTTTGTAGGGTCAGGATTTGATCCTACTCAGCATCTTGAACGTATGCATCCAGCGTGTTTGTCGCTATTATATATTCTATGTAACTTTCGAAGGCTTCAACGAGTCAGATGAGAGTAGTAAGAGTTACGTTGGGACTTACCAAACAATGGTGTCTTGTGCGTCTTGGACGTTTGGCGAGTATGAAATTTGCGTCTTCAGGAGGTGTAGTAACTCAACTTGCAAAGGTAAATAGTCGATCTGGTCAATTATTGACTCTTTTATTTTCTTTTCTTAATGATTTGTGCATATAGTTGGTGTCGCGAGTTGTTACCTAATTGCTTCGTAACGAAAGGCATCTTTGTTTTCATAGATGAGGATTTGTTACCACCTGATTCCTCTTACGAAGAAAGAACAAGGATAAAGAAAGAGCTGATGTGGACCTTGGCTTGAGAACTAGATCGGAGATGGAGTCGCTTTCAGAGCTAGCTGCTAATGAGTAATGTCATTGTTTGTCTATGATGAGTAGTGGATATTGTGTGAAAACTGGAAATCTTAGAGAGCTGCTATCTCTCTATGATAAGATCCAGAAGCAAATAGTTCAGTGAAATTATTAAGTAGAGACATTCGTTTACAACGAAAAATGTTCTTTAGCGACGGTTTTACTAGCTTCTAGCGACGATGACAAGAACCATCAATAATTTGATTTCAAAGAGGATCAATCATTGGTAGATTTGGAAACCCTAAATGCCAACTGCATATATATCTACAAAGACCTCAATTTTCGTACTGCTATGCTATAATTACCAACTGTTTCAACAAGTAACAATTAAGAACTGTCCAAAGAAACTTAATTTTCCTGCTGCATGCGTGTAGGCATAAATTGGCTTGCTGGTTTAGTGATGATCACTTGTTGTAAAAGGTACTAGAATGTTCATACTATGTTGCCTCGTTTTCCTAGACTTGTGTCTTGATTTGCTGTTGAATTCTTTTTCTTGGTCGTGTTTGCTGCGCGTTTATTTATCCATGGGTGGATATCCTTGGGAATTGGGATGAATAACCACGTACCCTAAAATTGATGATGCTGACTACTTTTTGTTTTTTGTTTTTTCACTGATATAAAAGATAACTGCTACACAAAATGCTCCATTTAATACACATATATGGGGAGTTCTAGAATACTCAGGGTGAAATTTGGGGTACTGCATACCTTGAGTAAGAAAAGTCTATCCAGAAGTTGAATTGACTGATCTTTCGGACATGATATTATACTCTAACCCATAAAAATCAAAATCTACGTCTTAATTATCTAAATCTTATACCCCAAGATCAATTTAATTAGAAACAATAATCGACGGTTGTGATTCGTCCAAATATAGGTAAAAAAATATCAATGCACCATCTTAGAGTTTATAGTTTATGATTTAGATAATTAGGACATAGGGTTCACTCATTAAGGGTTAGGGTATAGTATCATGCCTAAAAAACCTGCTAATTCGAGGTCTAGATAGCATTTTCATACTCAAGGTATGCGGTACCCCGGATTTCACCCGTGGTACCATAGAAGGCACCATATATAAGCATCCACCGTCTGTCCAGTCATCAAGTTAACTGACAGAGTTAACGGAGTGAACGAAAATGGATATTTCATGTATTTCGATAGTTGTGGATATATTTGTCACAAACCTGATAGTTGTGGATACACAGCTGTATTTTGCCTTCTTTTTATTAAGTTATCTTGATTCTCTTTTTTATGGATTTAGGGCTGATTGCAGGTTTGAGGAGGTTCAAATCGTGTTGACCGGGCTGAATTAGGTTTAATACCATGGGTTTGGATTCAATTAGCATTCTCAACAAAAGGAAAAAAATAAAAAACACTAAAGTGAATGAAACTCACTCCTAATCCAAAACTCGGCAACAATAGGTTCAACACGCTTTGATTGGGTTGAACCAATTTTTTAACAAAATTCACACTTGACACAACATGCCAATTAAAAAGAGAATAAATGGTAAAAAACTTGTAAATATTGGGTTCAGGTCTTTTTGATCAGATGAATTAGATTAGATACATTGGGTTTGAGTTTGATTGTTATTCTCAACCAAAGGGAAAAGACAAATAAAAACATTAAAGAAGATAAAACTCACTCCCAACAAAAAACTCTCGACGTTGAGTTCAACTCGCTGTGACTTTGTCGAGACACGTTTTTAAAGAATTCACACTCGACCAAACATGTAATCATAAAAGCGGATAAAACTCACTCTCAATACAAAACTCGTCAACACCGGGTCTGGGTTTAATTGCTATTTGTTGGTGACGATTCAGATGACGAAAATTCGTGGGCGAATTCTGTTGACCCCGGGGAGGATGATGCGGTGGCGTACGTGGGAAATCAGTTCTTGGAGCGCTGAGGGAAAAACCAAAGAAATATTTTCTGATGGCAGATCGGACTTAGCCGCAACCAACATACCACTATTTCCTAGTATTTTGGGAGGGGAGGGGTTAGAGAGATAATTTTAGAGAGAGAGTGAAGAATGGGTTGTGGTGTGAAGAAATGAGAGGGGGGAGGGAGTATTTGTACTCTTCAGACCGCACCCTCCAGGGGCAGTCTGGTAATTTTGCCCTGCCAGAAACTGCACCCTCCCGATGCGTTTTGCAAGGATCGAGGCGCTGACCGCACCTGCCAGCTGCGGTCTTCGATCCTTGGCGCACTGGCGCGGATCACTGATGTGGCAAGCGGTCCGCCGCTGGATCACCGCCTGATCCTGCGGTCTCCAAACCCGCTCCCGAGGAAACACATACCGCACCTCCAATGTGCGGTTCGTTGGCTGACGTGGCATGGAACGCACCTCCAAGGTGCGATTTAAGGGTAAAACGCACCCTTCAGGTGCGGTTTATTTATAAAACGCACCTTGGAGGTGCGGTTTACAAATAATGGTGCTATTTTTATAATTTCTTTGGACTGGGTGCTATTTTTGTAATTTTTTTAAATATGTGCTATTATTGGAAAAATCCCCTCCATATATTGCTTGTTGTGTAGCTTAGAAATGTCCCAGCAAGATCACCACATGGTAGCATACATATGATATACTTTGAGGCTATATATAACAAGAACACATGCAAGCCAGAGTAGTTAAATTAAACTTATCATAACAATAACACATGCGACTCCTTGGCTGAGTCTAAAACAGTTAAATTAGGGTTTTATTCATAGGTGCCTACATCTTATACATGGCACAAAGGTTGTCAACCCGCGGGTTGACCCGGACCCGATCGAGCTAGTGGGTCAAGGGTTAATGGGCTACCCGTTTTAGCTCGGTTTAGCCCGGAAATATAGAAGTAGTCATTATATTGTACTTATCCTCATAAATTATATCAAATCTCATCTAACATATGAGTTATAACATATAATATTCCTCCAAAATAACATGTCGTACTTAGATTCAACATATAGTGAAAATTCACACACGCTTATATAACATTAATATTCAAATGTTCAACTTAGAATTCCAAAGATTGAGTTAGGCGAAAAGAAAAATCGAAAAATAGACGCATTTCCCAAACCAAAGAAAAAAATGACAAAATTTGACGTCCAACCCGGTACCTTGTAACGGTCGACCCAACGGGTGCGTGCGTCTCATTTTTCTCACCGAGCCAGGTCAAAATGGGACAACATTGCATGGCACTCATGCTCTCTCCGGGCTAAATTTGAATTCTGAACCTTTCTTAGATTAATCGGTGCTACAAGGTTCTTATTGCTTGCTCTTCTCAACCCATTTTCCCCCGAGTCTCACTCCTACACTCAGTTAGGCTAAAAAATTATTAATTTTGAACTTCTAGCCTTTAGATGAGGATTGTGATATACACTTCATTGGTTTAAGAGAGAACCAATACCTAAAAGAAAAAATGAGGAATAAACTAATAATTATGATGTTATTAAAAATTAAAAATTTAGCAAAGTCACACATATGACAATTTGCCTCAAACAGTAAACCTTAAAATAAAAGAGAAAAATGAAGAAACTGAACTTTTATACACGCAACCATCTTCCTAACTAAAAACAATAATATAATAATTAGTTTTAACCGAATGCTTTTGATGGATATAAGATTCTTCCATTGACAAACCGAAATGCCAATTGCTTTTGATGGATATACGATCCTTCTATTAGCAAAGCAAACGATCAGAATTAATTTGAAACAGATTGCTCGACGGAGGAGCTTTGGAGCTAAAGCCGAGAGGTAATTATCGAGCATGGACATAATTCACTCTTCAGTGAATCTTGAACAGTATTCATGGAGAATTGGAGATGGATACATTTCGCGCTTCTCTCTGCATTCATCGAGCGTCCAGCCTACCAGGAACAAAAGTTTTGAGGCCCACAAAAGCATTCAGCCCATGAATATGAACGCAAAAAAGAAACACAATAAAAGAGCAAAAGCCCACAAAAGCATTCAGGCAGGGGGTGCTTGCCCAGAATCTCTTTATATGCTTATTGCTAACTTACTTGGGCAGGGCAGGTTTTAGGTTTCATTAAATCGGCTGCGGGATTCCTTTGCCCATCGAATCATCGATTGTCTTCATATAATACTCGCACGCACTCGGAGAATTTTTCTTCTCGTTCTCAGCCTTTCATCTGCCGCCGCCGACCGCTGTTCATCGATCCATGGCTAATCAGAAGAAACCCGAATGGCCGAAGCTCCGGTACGGGGATGGCGAGTGCGCACGCTGCCGGGAACTCGATAAGCTGAAGCTGAAACCCAAGCCCGATGACCTCGATTATATATACGAGGATGACGATTTCGAGGGCGACGAAGAACTGATGCTGAGGGTCATCCATTACAGGAGGAAGTGTGAGGTGACCGGTGTAAGTAACTCATCGATCGTCCAAACTGACCATAACTAATTAACCACTATTTTCTCCCTGTAAAGTTTTCCTGAATTTGATTCTTTTTGAATCGCAGCGATTCGATGTTGATTGCCCTCCTCCAACATCACATTGTGCTTCAATTTACCCTCGAGAGCATTATTCTATGTGCGTTAGGGACTATGAAAAGCGGCTTAAGATGAGTGTAAAATTCGCGATCGACACATACAATCAACACAAGGTAAAATTCGTGATCATATGTACTTAGAGATATATACACCTACGTACACTAGCATACATGCGTGTCAACTGAACTGAATAATGTTTGCGCGCAGGGTCAGAACTTGATCCTACTCGGCATTTTGAACGTATGCATCCAGCCTGCTTCTCGATATTACATATTCTATGTAACTTTCGAAGGCTTCAATGAGTCGGATGAGAAGAGTGCGAGGAAGAGTTACGTCGAGACTTACCAAACAGTCGTGTCTTGTGCATGTTGGATGTTTGGCAAGTATGAAGTTTGCACCTTCAGGAAGTGTAGTAACTCAACCGGCAGAGGTATGTGTGGTCAATTGTTGAATATTTTTTTTTGTTTTATTTGTTTTTGTGAATGATTTATGCAGATGGTTGGTGTCGATTTATTCGTAACAAAAGGCGTATCTCCTTTCGTAGATGAGGATTTGTTACCACCTAATTCCTATTACGAAGAAAGCACAAGGGTAAAGAAAGAGTTGATGTGGACCTTGGCTTGAAAAATCGGAAGAAATAACGCTTTCAGAGCTAGCTGCTCTACTGATGAGTAATACTATGGTTTTGTCTATGCGTACTGGTTATCTTTTGATAAGATAAGTGGAGATCTTAGAGCCAGTGGCGGATCCAGAATAGGGTGGAGCACTGAGTCACATTAGAAAAAAGGCGAAAAGTACTCGGCCGTAACTCCAACAAACACAATAATAAATACCGGAAATCGAAAATTTACAAGGACATAATAGCTATGGATCTAGGGGAGGGCTGGGCCATGCCCCCCCCCCCCCCTCCCGATCCGCCGCTGGTTAGAGCTGTTGTCTCTCTATGAGAAGAAAATAGGTCAGTACTGAAACTAGTGGCGACTGACTGAGGTCCTTCAAATTTTTAAGACGTTTTAGTATCTAATGAACTTTAAGTTGATTAGTGTCATTACATAATCTAACATCAACAAAAGTATGGGGTGCTAAATACTAAGAATCATACTAAACCCTACATATCTAAAGGGTTTTGTTACCCCATTTTTCCCAAGTGGGGTCCTAGTACCCCTCTCGCTGAAACTATCAAGTAGAGACATTTGTTGTCAACTACACTTTCTCCTGTATGGTTCAACTTCTACAACTTATTTAATACTAGCAAGGAAGCCAGCACTACGCGGCGGGCTGTGAATTTCGTCATAGATAATCACAGTTATGGCACCTTCCATCAGTCTCAACCCTCTGTTTTTCTTCTAGGAGCTCTCGTAAATTAGCACCAACACTCAACAAAAAAAAAATTATGAGTGGAGCATCAATAACCCTCCAAGTACCTCTGTTCACAACCCTTGCAATGACATGGCAAGTTTCAAGTTAGCTTGGTCTTTCTCCTCTAACGTTTGATAAACCCGAGTGGTGGAGACTGGAGACCCAATTCAATAACACAAAACTGGATAAAAAAGATGGTGTGACCAAATTAATTAATAAAAAGCCGTGAAAGAGTTGTACGATCGTCATAGAGAAGAACGATCACAATAAATAAATGTTCGATCCACATTTGGATGCCTTGGTAGCTAGTGTCTCATATGAGAGTGGAAGCTCTCTCTCAAAACCGTGCTTCGTGGTCCTGCAAACAAACAAATAACATGCTTTACTTAAGCCTCATCTTCATACACAATCGCTTAATCGGCCAAAAAAAGGGCAACTAGTTTGAGAGCATTAAACTGAAATTGAAAACACCACAACAACCAACTGAAAAAAATGAAAAGTGTTGCGGTTGGTATCTGGAAATTCTAGTAAAGAGATGCCTCATTGTTAGGGATGGCATTTATAGCCGTAACCGCGGGTATTCGACCCTACCCAACTCGGTCAATGAGGGGAATCTCCGCATTGACTGGGTATGGGGCGGATACAGATAATACCCACAAAGAAGTTTGTGGGTATGGGCGGGGATGGATTTGAGTGCCTCCGCCCCATACCCATACCCATATTCGCCTCATCATTACATATGTCATATATTATAAACTATAATTATTGTAACGTAGGAGTTGTAGTTGGCAATTTTTATGTTCTTTCATCATTAATATACTTTTTTTGGTATAATGATTAAGGGCTAATACCACTAGGAAACCCGAACTATTAACTTTGTGTCATTTGTGTCCTAAAGTATTCGATATGACATTTGTGTCCTAAACTATTTTTCCGTTAGAGTTGACTAGCGTTGACCGTTAGTTTTTAAACAGAAAATCTAGTCAGTGTTTATGTGGCATCTGACATGGACATTCTGTTATTAATTTTTCATAAAAAAATAAATAAACTAACAGAAATAAAATAAAAAAAATCTCTTGGTCTCCTCTCTCCTCACTCGACCCCGCTTACCCTTCATCTCGCCGCCGCCATTGTCGGCGAAACCTAGAAAAAAATTTCTTGCCATGGGGTGTCTCAACATATTCTACGTAACTTTCTAAGGCTTCAATGAGTCGGATGAGAAGAGTGCGAGGAAGAGTTACGTCGAGACTTATCAAACAGTCGTGTCTTGTGCATGTTGGATGTTTGGCAAGTATGAAATTTGCACCTTCAGGAAGTGTAGTAACTCAACCGGCAGAGGTATGTGTGCTCAATTGTTGAATATCTTTTTTGTTTTATTTGGTTTTGTGAATGATTTATGCAGATGGTTGGTGTCGATTTATTCGTAACAAAAGGCGTATCTCCTTTCGTAGATGAGGATTTGTTACCACCTGATTCCTATTACGAAGAAAGCACAAGGGTAAAGAAAGAGTTGA